CTAACAAACTGACCTCACAAAAAATCTTTATTGAAGTACGAACCAAAAGAAACCCAGCGACACGAATGATCAAAAAATTCAAACAGTCACGACCACGGTGTTGTTTAAGTCGGGAAGAAAATATAACGTCACGAACATAATCCATTAAGAAGCTAAGATTATATACACGCCAACGTGTGTCCTGTCTCTGGTGAGTGAATTGATAATTTATTCTTCGTTAGTCTGATTTTTTACTTGACAATCGCTACCCGAGCTAGAGCAGTTCGTGCGCGACTGTTTTGACATGACTAGCCATATTATGAATCACTAAGTATTTGCCCACTTTTATAGTTTGGTTCCAAAAGAAGTAATGATTGGTGAATTATTAACAAGAACATTATAGGTTTGCCACTTTGTCTGTTTCTGTACGAATTCAGCTCTTCATTTCTGTTGTAGCACGTCTTCCTTCATTCTTCTTATTATATGTGACGAAGATTAATGTATTACCTACTATAGATTCTTCTGGTGAATAAATACGAACGCACAAATTTCTGTCCGAGGATAATGCGATGAAATCCGAAAACATTAAAACACAAAAAGCGGTAGTGTAAACTAACAAGATGATGTTATAACAGAAATGGATCAAATAAACAAAGCAGCTATTGAGCTAAATTCGTATACAAACAGTAGATAGATGTAGACGGGTAGAGGCGGCGCGATGAGGTAAGCGACCTTAAAAGCCACTTAGCACACATTGCGCTCTCTGCTCTTTTGCTGCGTTTCTTATTACTTGGCAAATAATTCTGCTAATATGCCGTATAGGCATTTCACACATGCGTTTTAATACTAAGACACTCGGTTGCATGCTTCTACCCACTGTAACGCTCGCAATCTGAAACGGCGTCGGGAAAATTCTTTTAACATTTGCTAACACGTTTCTAACAATTAACACTTAGTTTTTGAGCAGTAGTCAGCTTTCCTACTCATTAAATTGTTTTCATTATTCGGTCTGCTAATTACCGCTAATTAATATCGCTTATAACTGCAATTACATTTTTTTTAAATTAGAGAAACAATCTAAAATGTAGAGCGTTAGTGTTTAATGATATGTCATTTGCCAACAGAAGTCAATGCCGATGTTAATAGACCGGAACCTATTTCAGTACGTGGAATAACCAAAGAAATATCACATATATGGATCCCAAGCGCAGAAATCGTGAACACAAGTAGCCTGCACAAACTTTAACGAAAAATATAAGAATTTATAACAAACCAAACTAGATGATTAAGTTTTTCGAAAATATTATAAAGTCTAATATAGTGCATTTACTGATATGAATAGATTGCTAAACCAATGCTGACTCGAATGAAGCACGTTAATTATGGTTTACGCGGAGTCATGAAGCAGACGCTATTCCGCCGCCGGGACTAGCCCAGGAGTAGCAGTTCGCTTCACCAGTTTTAATTAAAACCCTGCACTACGGTGTGAAGGATTCATTCAACAATCCGCCCGCGCCCTTTCCTCAACTCTAATTAATCTAAAGCAACAATTTCGTTGCTCGCAGATCAACAAAAAGGTCACAATCACACAAGCCCGTGACGAGATTTAGGACTTTGGGTCGCACAAGCCCTTCACCAAGCTAACAAAAGAAGCAACGTCACAGACCATTAGCTCCATATTGTTATAATATTTTGCCTTATAATAGCGACATGGGGTATCATTATTCATTAAGCATAAATAGTTAGCCTTTTAATAATCGATTTCGTGTCTTCGTCGTCGCGTAAAAATATATGGTTGCGAAATTACAACACTTATTAAAGTGTGACTATCGGCTGAACTATATCTGTGAAAAAAATTTAAAAATGCAATAACTCAAGTGATGCCTCCGTGCTCCCGACGCGGGTTAGCCAATTACAGCGTTGCGCTTCAAGGAAGCTAACCAGTTTCTAAATTCTTCGTATATTTAATTTAGCTTAATTGGTGTGTAGATACACGGCGGCAAGCAGTCGACCGAGAATTTGAGCCTCTTTGTTGGCGAAATCGTATTTAAAACGATACCCCCGCGAATTGTACACCAAGAGAACCGCTCTCCTTGTCTTGCATTTAAAGCTTACGTGCTTTTAATTTCTCGGACTCATGCCGACTCGTATTCACCTCCTCTCGTTTGTTTTAATGATAACGTTATTTCTACCAGACCTTTGACTTTTTGGATGAAATCTCGAAAAATATCTATTGAAACATGTATAAACATGCTTGTCACTGAAAATAATGGGTTTTTTTCCATACCCACATTTTGTTGTTACTTGAAATCAAAACTTTTACAGAATGAACAAAAAAATTGCTCAAAAAATTTTGTTTTCCATGCATTTTGTGTACTAGCGACGACAGATTTTATTTGAAAAAACCATACAAAAAATTAGAACACTATTTTTATATTTGACGAAAGATATTTTGTACCGTGGACAATTTCATGTATTATAATATAACTACTGTTTTTTTAAACATCCTGATAAGAAGGACAAAATACTCTGTAGTTTAAAATTAATCTACCTACAGTTTGCGGGTGCTGAAGTGATGGGTACAGGAAACTCGGCGCGTGCGTTGTAAACTGATGTGGAGATGAGCTGTGTGGGCGCACCCCCGCTGGCGTATTAGTGTAACAATTGACTACTTAATATTTAGGTAAGACATTGATTGTCAGTGATCATCACCGTATGAAACGTTAACGGTATACTGACCTTAAAAACAACACAATGACAATTCATTTTAGAACTATATGTAAAGAAAGACATTGAAATTTGTTCTGAAACTTGGCTTCGTGTCCATTAAAACCCGTTTACAATGTTTGAACCAGAAGTGGTAACAGATGGTGTCGCTTGCGCATTAAGATCACGCTAGCAACAAACATTGTTCTCAGATTGTGCCAACGCGTCCGAACAAGGAGAGAGGTGCGGTATACAATTACTTGCGTTTGGAGTGTCTTGGTACATGTACTGGTATACTGTACGGTTGTGTGAGTAGTGCGTTCGGCGTGGGACGGGGCAGTGCAGTTTTTTGCGAACATCAGATGAACGACGGGTCGTCGAACCCTATCGCTTGTCTCAAATCCGAATTTCGCAACCGCAACTTCTGGTCCTTTTATAAATTTCATCCATTGTTCGATTTTGTTTTCTTTTTACTCTCAAGATGATGATTTAATAAGGTTTACTTGTGCGCTAGAAAATGCATGAGATGATTGAATGTAACTGTAAGAGACGGTGGTAAGAGGCGTCGCGTGCCATCGTGGTCGGACAGCGAGCCGGCACGCATTGTGAGCAGGCGGTCGGCAAGACGAAACAGCTGGTAGTATCATTGGCCACTCATTAGACGTTAAAAAAATCGTTCAAAAACCCGCCGACTAATTAGCACTGTTTCTGTGCTCGTGTGCAGCGTTCATTCGGTAAGAATGTGTGACGGCCGGCGAGCTTAAAAGCTTTGTGAAGTGCAATAAGCTTTAGGTTAGCTGAATATGAAGAATCTGCGCAACACCCGCCGCCGACCAAGATAATGTGTAATATAAATTCAAGATGCTCTTGTTTCAACTCTATATAACGAGATGGAATGAAAATGGCATAGTTCGAAATATTTTTTATGAATGATAATGAAGTTCTTCACTGTGAGCATGATTGGGGCAGCAAGTGACATAAATGCTATTGTTCTTTTAATTACAAAGGAAAAGACGGCGTGTGGAGTTCAAAATAACAGACTAATATTTAAGTATTTATAAGCACGATAACAAACACTTTTAAATGTATATTATGTTGCAATACCGATAAATATTATGAACAACTAAGGTAACACTTTGGCCTTGCTGCGGGCATTGCCTGTGAACTCACACCAAATGATTTGCAGGTCTGCATTATTAAGCTACTAGCAATAAAAAAACGTCTAGGTATTAAGTAAAACGACCGAAAGAAGCGTACAATCGAGCTTTTAGGCGTCACGCATGATGGCGTGCTCACTGCAAAAAGTGGCACAACCAACCACACGGATAACAACAGTATCTGCTGTATATTGGCATGTAATTATGAACAATACCACTTTTATATTTCATATATTGATTATTGGCACGTTACGGCACGGCACGGTTACGAAACCTTTCTCTATGTAACTAATTGCCTTTTTGGGGTCCTGAGTGCTCCAACCGCTTCCATGGCACTCTTCTTTTTGTCACACAAAAATTGCATATTCGGTTTTCTTTGAAGGACTTTCCGGTGCATTGGTTTTTTTCCAATTGTTCAAATTCGTGCATTATTAAGAACCGATAAAGCTGCATACATTTCGCAAAATGGTCCACGAGGCTTGTCCTCGGACGGGTCACGCGCCGCACGCAAACTCGTTATTCGGCGCACTTTCGCCACTTCTCAGTTGCGCCCGCGCCGGCGCCGTGTTCCTTACTCACTTGCACATGGGCTCTCCCTCCCTCGCACCCCACGTCATAACGACCCAGACAGTTACCGGCGACAGCGGTTTTACAACCTGACCATCAGAACTATTCTACCCAAAAACTCCCTTTGTTCTTAGGACCGCAATCACGCACAAAATTTCAACATAACAATGATCCCGAATACATTTGATTTCCGAGCTGTACAGTTTTGCGGTGCTCATAGTGTTAAAATTGTCACTTGTATATTGGAAGGATATACAAGTCCTTTACTACATAGCAGTATATAAAGTCATCGACTCCAATAATTCGTTCTTTCGCGCCTATAGAGCATTAAACAAACAAAAGAATGTCTTCTAGTGCTCAAGAAGTGGAAACAATCGGTGCAACACATTGACCGGCTAAATCCGACACAATCGAGAGGGGCGGGCGGAAGTGTGGCAGCGGTGAAAAGCTCGCAACTGCATGAGGAGAAAGGAAGCGGCGCGCCGCGCGGTGTGATAAGGCGGCTGGCTGGCGTCGTTGGGGCGCGGGGAGAGGTTGGCAGAGGGAAGGGGAACGCGAGATGCGGGGCGGGGGGTGCGCGCGCACCAGCAGTCCCCGCGCCGCGCCACTTGCCTCCCGTCAGTCGCCCGCCGACTCCGCTTGTGCTTGTGTGACTCGCGCCGCTCCGTGCACCGCACTCGTGCCCCGATCACGACGCGTGCCGCCCCACTGTGGCCGCGAACGCGACCACTACGCTACCGGCGAAACGTTTCTCCTAACTTAAGTGCAACTTGCTATGTTTTAACTTTCGGACATTTCGCATACCCTTTACCCGGCTTGTTTATCCCTTCATGTAAGTGTACGCTTATTCTATTAAAAATCGGCATACCTAGTCTCGTCGAATTCGGAAGTCACATCAAAGTGTTCGTCGTGCAGTTTGTGAATTAAAACTAGTGTATTTTCCAGTCGTGCAACGTCCACATGATTGATTCTTTCTGGTGTTTCCTGGAATTAATTGACTGGGCAGCGATTTCCGAAATTCGACGGAAAGTTTTCGTAAATCGGAACGAACGGCTTGGCTGGTGTTGTGCTAACTCGCGCGAGTCCGGCCGAAATCGCGACGCCGCATGAGAGCTTTCGCTGGTGGGACCTGCTCGGTGCTGCGGCTTCCTTGCTGCCCGCGCTTCTCGCACCAGGGCACAAGCGTCAAAGCTTTCATCTCCTGTAATGTAAAAGTTACGCTAAGTAGAAGTCTCCCCTAATCCCCTGACGAAACTTTCTTTCCTCATTACTCAACTCCTTCGAATATTGCGTTAGTAGTTCTTTGTGTCTCTACAATATTCCCGTCACATGCTAAGATTTTTATTGGTGTGCAATTTCGTGCGATATATTGGTGAAAAGTTTCTCATTAACTTTTGGTATTGTTCTTGTTTGACAAAACATAAAGTCAATTTTATCATGGAGCGTTTTCCCAGATTATCATAGCTAGCCTTAGTTACAATATCAATTGTTTGTTTCGTTCACGAAACATTTATCAAGTTAAAAGATCTTTTCAAGCAAAGTTAATATTGTGTTTGTGGTTCATCCTTTCCAATCAGTGCAATGCAAAGAGGATTATCTTCTTCATTTTACCAAGAACTTATTCTTGAAATCTCAGGATAATATTTAAAGCTATCAAACCAAATACAGTGCTTGAAGCAGACAGGTAACTTCGTTATCGGCACTTCTGTTATGGTAAGATAAATGTTTGTATTCGTAATATTGCCTAGTCTTCTGGCATGAAACATATCAATCAAATAACGGCTTTAATGTAAAACGCGTTTATCGACTATATGGAATTATGTATAACGCACAATCAATGCCGTCCCAAAACCGAAACGTAAACTTTTGAAAAATGGCGTTTGAATTTAGAAAATCGGGATTTTCGTTAAGTGACGGTATTGTTTTGAGCGTACGAATATGTAGTCCACAAAAAAGTTTCGTAAATTCCAAAAGAATTTCGTAAAATCCAAAAACATAACTGCTTTAAATTTTATTTGTAGTAATGAAAAACAACCAACTGTTAACGAAATAAATTCATTCCAAATTACGAAGACTATCACTGATCACTTGAAATTGTATAGTGATACTTTAATGCGAGATAAAAAGAAGAAAAAAGCACTTCTGCAATTGAAAGAAAACTCACTAACCCGAGTATAATTTTAAAGATACAATAATGCTCATAATATTATGCAGCAATTGTAGTCTAAACATGTAGAATAAACGAAGGAATTATACTCGAGAAGAAAAATTTAATGGTATTAAAGTATAGTCTGTGTGGGGAATGTATTCTGCTATAACAAAAAAAAAATTATCAAATATTATAAGTACACGTTTTGTAACTAAAGAAATAATATGTAATTACTTATTTATAAGACGAAACTTTAAAAGCACAAGAGACGATCACTAATTGAAACTTGTAAAACGCGTGTTAATTTAAAAAATGTTTTAGTCGTTAGACCAAACAATGTATTATGTGTGCTACGCTCCATCCATGGGGGTTCCAGCTGGACTACCTGCATTCGACAATAAACCGTCTGTCAATTGAGGGCCCGTTCTACATTATTATTATTGTTTCACTATATTATTTTTGCTTATAAATCGCTTCAACCATTTTTATTAAGGAAACATTTTATTCCATAAGGCGACCAATTTATATAAATTTATAGTTTCAACGCTAATGCCATGAAATTATAAATTAGTGTTGCACCGGAACAAACAGTTCAGAAACTCCCAAAAATAATTGTAACGATTATAAAATGCTAACCGAACAATGAACCAAAGAGAGTACTCGTAACAGCAAAAAATGTTAACTCGGAAAGACATCAATGAAAAAGGATGTCCCAGCAAAGAGCGAAAACAAATAAAACTATGTAATAGCATGACAATGTAATGCACTTAATATAAAATATTTATAAACTGTAAAGAATAAAAAAAACATTAAGTAACTAATATATTTCATTAGGTTTTTCGCATACCTCAATAGCACTTGCACGTTCTGAATTCTGTAAAAATTAAAACTCCTGTCATGAGACCGGTTTGCATAATTATGCGTTCAAGGACAGCTTGGAACCAACATACCAAAGTAGTGTCCAACGTAGCTAAAATGGTCGCCTGATAAGCACCACGCTATCGGAATTAATTATCTTATCTGTATGAAAATTAAACGGATGTAACACACAGCCAAACTTGCAGATTACGAAACCAAATTAATCATTGATAATGGAACGGTGGCGGTTTCGAGATACTTTTGCCGTTGTTTGGGAAATATTTTTTCGAATTTTTTGGGTAATAGAAAAAATTCAAGTATTAAAACGAAATTGGCAGTCATGAAATTCAACCAAATCTTTCGAATGCTTCGATGTCTTCTTCTTTGTCCTAGCTTTATGCGCCTTATTTTCGGGTCGGTCCTCTTAGTCCTCGTCCTAGAGTAGCTCCAGGAGTTTTTGCGTAAGCTCAGGGTCTACTACCGTCGTCTTCATGTTTCTTTGGACGGTTCCAATCTGAGAGATTGAGGTCTGCCGGGTTGTCTTGTGGCGGGTTCCATTTCTAGCGATTAGATTTTTCTGGTCATATATTTGTCATAACTAGGATTTTTTTGGTCATATGGTTGTTTGTCATTTCTTATGTGTTATACAAGAATGCTTCAGTGTGTTATAAGACAATAAAATGACATAAAAAAGGTCCCTTTACTGATAAAATCGATACCGGATATCTAAGATACAATTTGTAAATACTGAATGCTCAGCATTTTCATTGTAAAACCAAAACTTCAAATATTATGATGAAACGGCAACACTAACTCGTGTCTTTTTGCTGCATGATTTCGCAGCACAAAATTTCCTCATTTTGCAGCGTCCCGCTTTGTGTATTGTATTTTTGTATGTTTTGTTGATGCGATCAGTTTAATGTCGGCGCAGCACCGTACCCGCGCCAGGGCCGGGGCTTCGGGCGCACCATGTTCGATAAGGCGTGCACATTAACGGGCGCGCTGCAGCGATAGCGCCGGAATCGTGTAATTTGCGCCTCGTAAATTTAAGCCGTCGCAAATTTTTCGCCTCTCTCGCTAATTACCACTACGCCGTCGTCCCCTGGGACTGCTAAATGTGCCTAGCGCACGTCCCGAATGCGAAAGTAGCTCTCGTTGCTATCTGCTTTGCTCCACACATGTCAAACAACGGCCTTTGTTTTGGTTGCCAAGACTGACCTACGTGCTCGTATGAAGTGATCATAATTCCAATTATACTGGGTACTTATAAATTTCGAAATCAATTATAATTTGGTTGATATCGACTTCCTAAAATTGTTACAATAAAACAGCAAGTAACGTTGTCCGTTGAAATATGATATGATACATTTTAATTGTCAACTGCCTTTGAACAAATACATGGTAGCCCAATTAACTAAATGTGTTTTTTAACATAGGAAAAATAAATAAAAAAATGTCTATTGTCATAGATTATTTCTATGAGCATAGAAAAATATTTCTATGCTCTTATATATAGTTTCAGAATGTTTTGTCTGTATTGTTCTATTTTCTACATCCCAAACGTGAAACACGTTTCATCCAGCCGTACAGGATTCAGGAGACCGTATTAATAACATTTTTTCCTTCTCGCCGTGAATCACCTAACTCGCTTGGCCAACGAATGTGGAGCCGTGTGAGGAATAACAAACGGTGACATCACTTCGATACTACTACCAAACGCCTAAGAAACGAAACTACTCATCTAAGTGAGCAATTTTCAACCATGCATTGAAGATTTACGCCTCACATTCCTTTGTTCGAAGTTATCTCAAATATGTCCCTGAACGTTATTACAAACACGGCGCGGATCGACAGAAATATCGCATGTGAAAATTTGATTTACCATGTAGACAAGCTAATACTACTTGAATAATATTGTGTTGATTTTTGAAGCTATACATAGAATAGATTTTAAAATCGAGTTTAGTTATTCATGCATTTTCATAACTGTAAAGGAGTTTAACTATTGTTATCGTAGCTTATTTTAACACTAAATTACTTTATGTATGATACAACAAGCTGAGAATTGGTCACCTGACGTGTTTTGGCAAGGTTCAACTTGGAACAGATTGCGATTAACGTTTTAAGTCAAATGTCAGCTACAACGGGTAGGCGGACGAGAATCACTAAAAATATTGTGGGATTCTTAATAGTATTCTTGAATATTATCGATTGAAATTTGGTAATTTATACGATATATCCAAACGATAGTTTCATATATTTATTTAGAATAAAATGTACACGCGTCACGATCACAGTTGCCATGAGCTTTTTGGTGAAGGAAAATATCGTGATGACATCTGCACATCGAAGCAGGTTGACAACCCTCGGATAACATCTGAAATCCCCAACCCGCATTAGGCCAGCGTGGCGGACTATAGTCTAAACCCTTCACCTGAGAGGAGACCCGTTTCCGATAGTGGGACGTATAAATGGGTTGATGATTTATAAACTAGTTAAGTCGTGTAATTAACTATTTTGGTTTAAGCCACTGTTGCCACTACATTCTTGGGAAGCAGCGATATGCAAATTTATAAGTATCAATTAGCACAACGTATTGTAATACTACAACGTACTGTAATAATTGTTAAGATCATTAAAATGCTCCGATGGCGTTTGCGGCATGGCGTCGTCGTGACGTCTATAGAGCGTGTCGAAGGAAAATATGGTGGTGGTTTTTGCGCCGTCGTCGTCTGCGGCGAAGCGCAACACCACCTTCAAGGTCATGTCGCGCAGCCTGCCCTGCTTTCCGCCTGTCTATTGTATTGCAGCCTTGTAGTTTTTTGCCGTTCCGGACTTTAAAGCCGACGTTTGCTCTACTTGATTACCCTGTCCCTCGATAAGCTTAGCTAGTGATAATAAAAGAGGCCACGCCTTGATCACCATCAACATAGCCATGCGTTTTAATTCGCTGTATCATTAACTTTTATCGTTCCCATTGCTTTACTTAGCAGTCATACTAATATGCTACTACCTGAAATCGAGCTGTATAATTCTACGTATAGTATCGATTTTCACAATTGGTTACCATGATAGCGATAAGGTTCTTGTAACTTTAGCCGGACATTTACACCATTATTTCGTTCTAATCACACTCAGATCTATAAATATATTTATCAATTCTAAAGTACAGTCCATTGACTAACAAAAACATAATGTCATTCGCCAAGTGACAGGCGAGAGTATCGGTGAAGGTAACGAACGTAGCAATTGCTTACGTGAGCAACCTAACCTCGTCTGTCGAACTAAATTCGATCGCAAACCACAAACCTTCAGTGTTACATGCATTCACTTTCAGAACATTTTTCAAACCTTGCTAATGCCAAACAATACGCGTTGAGAATGATACCCTTACCTTGAACGCCATTAAATTGCCCAAGCTTAAGAGCACTTCATTTTTGCAATTATTGTTTCATTTATGAATTCTTTGCTTAATTGTGTACATATTGAAATATATAGCAATGGCAACCTCTGTAAGTTTGGCTTCTTTTTCATTTTATCTTTTTTTACTGTCCTAAAAGCGAAAAATGTTGTTGAGTGAAGAAGTTACGGCTGATATACCTGTTTCCTCTGAAGTTTTGGCACGACAATTGGTCGAATTACTCATTTTGCCAAATAAGCTCGTCACATTCTTATTGTCTTGATAGCTCAGTGGTCAGAGCGCCCCCTTTCTGGTGGGAGGCCCCAGGTTCGAGTCCCGGTCAAGACCGTGGATGTGTTTAGCGTCCAGGTAACCTAGAAATGCGATTCTTTCACTCAACTGCACTTTTCAAGCAATATATCTATTAAATCAACGTGATAAATTTCTCGATGGCAACTTGATCGAATCGGCGGGCGATCTCACAAAGGCCCTGCTCGACTGTTTTTTCTCCCCTGCCTGTCTCCCACCCCGCGCCCAACCGCTCTTGCGAGATTCTTATTTAGATTCGCTTCCGTCTGATTGCTCTTGGTAATCTTTTCACTGGGTTATTGAATGTCTTCCCCGTGCGTGTCGAGCACGAAAGAACCCAACAGTCGCTGTTGTGAAAGGAATCAGGCCCCAATATCCTTTGAAGCCAGCATTCACGATTTCTTGTTTAATGCACAAAATAAAACGATGTCCATTTGTTTTGTGATTCGCATTTTGTTCGATCTTTTAGCAATGCTGTTATTTTATTGATTTGTAACGCTTATATTGCGTTCATTCATCGTATCGAATTGTATAGAGAAATGTGTACACATTTCCCGTTGAATAATCAAATGTTGTTTGAGGCTACATTTCAAGATATTTTATTCTGTATTTTGCAATTTAGCCATTTTCAAAATAACTTTTTATCGTTGACTACGATAATTGTGAACAAAGCAGTAAATGGTGTATTTCGTAAAAAAAACAAACTGCTAGCCATTCGACCGCAGGAATTATATAACCACTGCTGTTACACTTGCGTCTTACAGTGCTCATTCCAATTTCACGCCACGTAGCCATCGATAACGACAAAAACCTAATAGTGTCGCGACCGTTCTTATAAAAACACGATAAACTAAAGAATTTAAAACGAAAACAGAATGTGTCATTTTTTTACAAGACGCATTGACGTCTAACCGCCGAGTAGCAAGAGCCGTGATAAAAACACTACTGCAACTACCACGTCGAAAATAAAATTTGAAGATTTATGCACGGTGTAGAGCGCGACGTTGCGTTGCCGCACCCAAGCTATTTTCAACCAGGTTATGCTTTAAATAGCGCATTACGATAGGATTTGGTTTCACGAGTTTTTTCCTGTTGCCGTCCGCAGTCATCACTTACAAACAGTGCCCACACAAAGCATTTTTCCGCGTGTCGACTCCTGTGTGGCACTCACTGGTGCTTACTATCGTGAAAGCTTCTTTGAATCGTTCGTAATTTTTCATTCTATGCATGATGATGTGGGATGTACTGATATTTTTATAAGTCTATATGTCTGTAGGTTAGCTGTGAGTAATAATGTCTGATGTATATGTTTGTGGACTGTGTGAGTGACGCGCGCACTGGTGGACGTTATTATTAGTGGCGCATCTGTTGCGCACAATACTCACCTGTCCTGTCACAACATCACCCCTAAATTATTGACACGCATTGTCTATTTGCTAAAAGTAGGGAGCCTTTACAGCTAGGTTAGAAACTCACGATCAATTTTGGTAACAATTTTTTACTTAGTAATTAAGAATAATAAGATAATAAAAAATAAGGCTGTTCAATAATTGATATTTTGTACATGTTAAGAATATTAAAGCAGCAGGTTCGAAGTGGCGAATGGTGATCATCTGTTATCTAAGGTATCTAAGCCAGCAGAACCTGTCTAATTGCTCTTATGCACCTTTCATCAACCGTTTACATGACAACATTTGCCGAATATTAACATTAGCAATCGACTAAAACATGGATATTTGCCTTAAATCTGCTGCCTATAGTCAGGCTGTCGCCGCATGCGCAACGTGTCAAGCGACAACGGCGCCTCTGCGCAACGTCTCAAGCGACGACGGCGCCTCTGCGCAAGCCTGAGATCGGCCATCGCGCGCGCTTGCTAACCCGGTAGCCGCTTGTGCTTGGCTCCGGGGCTATTCGCCCGGAGAGTAACCAATGTGTTTTGTTGTTCGCAGAGTTGAGCCCCGCACCGCACCGGCTTGCTCGCTGACCGCCGAGCCGCTAATCTCGCTTTTTTCGCGCCCCACGACGCCCGCCCAGACCTGCACCGGCCGCCGCAATGCTCGCGCACCAAGCACCGCTCGCCCTCTACTAAACTAAATCGTCAACATCGATAAGAACGCGTGTGATAATAATTATTTAATACTCGCCTAAATAAGCTTGCAACGTCGGTGTCTTTAATTAACTTACTTGTAAGATTAATCTTATCGGCATACTTCTGTACCGCGTGTACTTGCGGCTCCGTGTATCCGTCTCGCGCGTGTGAAGCAGTGTCAGTGGTGCGCTCGTGGTGTATCAGCGTGCAACGTTCGCCAGCAGCAGTGCATGCTAAGAGCGCGCGGGCGCGCTCTGCCCCCCGCCGCCTATGCGCCGCACTCGCACAGCGTAACTGCGCGCGCTTCTCCCGCCCCTGAATCCCGTGCCAACAATGGCCACCATGGTGAACATGAATAGCCTACTGAACGGCAAAGACTCACGTTGGCTGCAGCTCGAAGTGTGCCGCGAGTTCCAACGGAATAAGTGTTCGAGGCCGGATACCGAGTGCAAGTTCGCGCATCCGCCGGCGACTGTCGAGGTGCAGAACGGAAGGGTCACCGCTTGCTACGACAGTATCAAGGTAAGACTTTAACACCTATCAAGACTACATACTTAGTGAATAAAACAGGACCAACGAACCCTGGGAACAATTTATTGTTATAAAATTGCCAACAGCCTAAGAGTCCACCCCCATGGCGACAATTTGCCGCCACAGCTCGGAGCGCTGACCTCAATTCCATGGCTGGCATACAGTGACGTCACAGCCGCCGCCGCACTCTACCATTGTATGGATATTGGCATCGTGCTAACATAATGAGCTGCGCAATGACTCGACGCCTCGAAGTTGCTCTACATATATTTTGGATTTTGCTTCTGCTTCCCCACAATAGTCTATATCAAACATCATCAGTCAATCTGGTATATTCGACTGTTGTCGTAAAAATATTTGTGCTACGAGTTACGAGGCCAAACGTCATACAATGAATGCAGATTTATACAATTCTTCGAAAATCAGCTCAGTTCTTCCTATGCAACTATATAGCATTGCTATTTTTGTAAAAATTATAACAATGTGATTTATCAGTCAGTTTGCAGGCGCATTACGTGATATGGCGTTATCAGCTCGGTCGAATGACGTGATAACGCGTTTTCGGGCAAAGTCAGTTGGCGAGCGATAAAAGTTAAAACCACATGTAAACATGCGTTCCCCAGTCCACTCTTCCATTCAATCATATAAAATAATAAGTAATAACCGTAACAATAAAACATGTCTTTGAACGTGTATAAAACCTTTGACGGCCTTTGTACAAAGTAGGTATCCTCATACCGTTTCATTCATCCAAAAACTCAAAGTTACAATAAATCGTTCCCTAAACAAAGAAATTGAGATAAACAAAAGGCACTTTCTTATTTCTTAATATTTCCTTTCGTATTTTTCTTTGATGCTCGGTTGAATAAAGCGATCAAGAGATAAAACGCACTGAGATCGGAGGGGGGCCCGCTCGCTCAACAAAGATTTCCACGTCTGCGTCTCGTCTCGCGCTCGATCATTATACAATATGTTGTTGGTGCCCAAGTCGCGTTCTACCTCTAACTGCCCGTCCGTGATATACGTTTTCTTCTAACGTATATTTTTACCGCCTCCCACGGACCAACGATAAGTCATTGCTATTGCTTTGCTTGTTTTCATATCGATATTGGCAATATTCCATGCTCCCGCCTTGTCTGCTATATTTCAAACATTTTTTTCATATCACCCAATTAAAACGACATAATAATATTAGTATGTCGCGACCGAACCCATCTTTCGTAATATGCTTAATTAACGTAGTCCACACAAATATAATATGTGAAGTTGGTGCGGTTATTCGCTTAGAGCCCGGAATCGTGTTTAGTCCGAGACGCTAAACAATGGGCGGGCGACATGCATTGTGCGGGCTTTGTGCTTCGTAGTATCGCACCATCGCGTCGGCACATTCCGTACAATGCCGTCGCCTGCCGTCCGCAGGATGCCACCATGCTTATGACGACAAGGTTTTATCAGGTATTGCTTTATATACTACCTCTTCCCGCACTTAAATAAGACACTAAAACTTCAAACATATACTGATACTTTATTACCTAAATAAAAATGCAAATGCATCCCAAAGATGCATTCAAATCTATGTCTACAATCTGCGATAAAATCTTACATCAGCAGTGCCAGTGCCTCAACGAAACTTTAAGTAATCTCCCGGAGAGTCAAATAGTACAGCACACGTCGCTACACGAGCACTAATCTGCTCGATAAAAACCATGGCTGTTGCATAGGACTCACTCATATTGTTGACCAGTCATGGAGCGTCCTGATACTTAACTGGGCGAACGAAAAAGTAAGCAGCTTTGTCCACTGTACCAGCACTCTGAGGCTCAGCACTCGCTTTCCCGCTCTGTTTATCTAATCGTGTAAAGCATAGAATCCATCCTATCACATTCGAAATTTAGATAGTTGTTTGAGCATCATTGTTATGGCTATTCCCACGAAGGAATATTTTTGCGAATTCTATATACATAAGTGTGTTGAATGTTTTATCAAAGTAGAATTTCTAAACTGTAACAATGATCTTTCTGGCTTAGTTAGAAGGATGTCAGTGTTCGAATAACAGTCGGCTGTTTTACCACAAGACATACAGGAACCCCCGTTAGTCGTGTTCCAACGGCAGCGTTCACAACCTCCCGCGAAATTGTCACCGGCGTACGTAATCGAGGCCTGATCAAACAAAACCGCGTCACGGCCCCGCATCCCGCGACTCGTCGCGAAATGTCTCCCGTGATTAAGCCTTCAATTACGCGATATGACGAGGGGGTCATATTTGATTAGGCTACGTGTTGTGTTGATTAAACCGAGCTTATTGCCTTATTCACTTAGCTTCACCCACGCGTGTATTATCCACCTATCAACAAACCGCCATCCATTGTCGAACCGATTTTGGATCGTCTTTCTACCTTGAAGGTGATCATCAATTTTGGTTTACGTTTAAAGGATGTGAATCATTTAACCTGCGAGCACATTGAGCTTTATGGCCGCTTGTGTGTGAAATAAGGATATTTCCAACACCCACATTTATTCGACCTCCATTACAACAAAGGTGTCACGTCACGATAAAAATATTGTTGCGGCCAGAATAACTTGAGCTACGCACCCACATAATTAAATCAATTAGTGTTTTCCGGTTCTGAAATTCCCTTGTTAGTGAATAAAATAGATTAGCTATTTCATCAATCTATTAAAAGCTAAGATTGTGTCATGCATTTGACACAGTCACCGGTTGTTGTGAAACCAACCAGACCGTAACTTCACCACGTCGACAATCTCTTACTTTTATTAATTTATTTATAGCGTATAGACTCCGAATCAAGTGTTTCTAATAATGCATTAATATATTTAAAGTTCATATTGCCCATAATTAAATGCAAACAATGGTACAAGTCTACAAAATATTTTAATGACTCTATTCTTTTTGCTCTACACGGCAACGTCATATACATAGAATGGACACCTGTGCTGCCTTTATTAAAGTATGATGTTTAATGGAGTATAATGTTTATAAAATACACCACTATTTATAATAATGACACATGTGGCTTGGTAATGGTACCAAGAAAAATATTGGTAATTGTATCACTATAAAAATTTCCTCGGCAGTTTGTCTTTAATTGTCAGTTTTGTCCACTTGTGATTTGGTTAATTTTTGGTGTGTTCTCTTACCCTTGTGAACTGTGGCAGAATATCAGCTAGGGCTATTTGCTCCATAGTCCTCTGTAGCAATAGTCCCGTTTGACGTGTTAGTTTTATTATTAATTGGTATTTCTTTTTTATTCATTACGCCATTATTATTTTGAATTGTTTTTTTTAAACGTCACGTGCCACTGTCGCGTGTTGCCGTATCGGATTAGCTTTGTATTCAATTTGGTAATTGAAATTTGTTCAACTTAATTACTTACGCACCGTTTTGTTTAGGTGGATATATTTAAATTGTAATATCTATCCATACTCACTCACATTATATAAATAACTAATTCTTCACACAAACGCGTCGAGTAGCCGGCTGCTAAACAACTTGGTGAAACTTTCTAACTCTACTTTTGTCCAACGCTCGGCAATACGGGTTACCAGAAACCGCAACAGATAAAACTTTAATAATCGTGATCATGGTATTGAATTGACCAAGAGTTAAGCCTTAGATTGTGATTGTTAATGCGTATAGCATAGCTAATCAGTTTTTTATATTATGTTTTTATTACAATCTTAGATGTTTCCGTTTTTTTGAAAACTGTTGCATAATTATTGACCCAATAATTTAGTTTTGCTGGCTAAAGTATAGGGAAAGTATGTGTGGGCATAAGTGAACTCTTCGCAGTTTGTGTCATACGTGGGCCGTGATAGATACACCGGTTGCGGCGACGCCGGCGCCGGCTTGGCGAACCTTTCGAGAAAGATTTAAGCCGACTCGTCCACCTACAGTCAGTTTCATCGTATATTCACAATGCTATTAAGCCGATCAAGATTCTAAGGGGTTTTCGCAAGTACAAGCAGTCACGTTATCATGAAATTACTTAAAAGTCATTGGCATGTTAAAGTTCCCAGTCAAGGGAAGTACAAACACATTGGTTAGTTACCTAACGTGTACAATCCAAAATTAGCGAGAAAAAGAGCGCGACGCCATCTCATTCTCATTCTCTGTAATCTAAAATCATTTTTAGTTATTCATCCAGCAACAAAACAACCGCAGTCATCTTCAAAACTTCCTGTTGTGAATTATATTAATAGAAATTCATAAGCGTTTTCCTGGAACAATGCGAATAAAACTTGCTCAAACTAACTTGGATTTTATTCAATGTAATGATCCTTTGACAAACTTCATCACAACTTTCGCACAAATAAGCAAACTACTGCAATCAAATCGCAGAAAGGCTATCGGCTTGAGACCTCTTGAGTGGTTTGTAAAACCCGTCCACGATAAGTTCCACTGCAAATCGTTCGAAGCGATCAAATGCTGCAGTAATCTCAACTCGCTCTTTGCTAGTCGTAGTCGTTTCACAGATTTTGAACTTTGCGGGTCGCGTGCCCACAGCCGCCCATTCACTGATGATTCTTTTTGTCAATATTTACCCGGCGAAATAAAGTCGACTGTGGCACACCGCGTTTAAGCCTCGTTTGACGTTAATCTTTCAAATCTACGGATGAGAGGTGCTTTTCTGACGGCATCTTCTTTTTTTTTAGTGAATTTGCGTCAAAAATTTAAACGTGCGTTAAATTGCAACGTATGATATTGTTCTTCATAAGCGCGGTCACTTCGATTTATCGTTTTGTAAACTGTTTTAAATTAACGTTCAATAGATGCAGCTAATTAACTCAAGTAACATTTTACACTGTTAACAAAACAAGGTCAGCTTTTGAAATTGCAGCATTCCAGTGAATATTAGGAAGGCAAGTAGACGGGGCCGAGACGGCAAACCTCGTTCCAATGCCAGGCACCGTTATATGATTTACGTCTATCTCGAAGCGTATGTGTATTGTTGAGTCAATACCCGAGCCCA